AGACAGGGGCTGCTTCACGGCAGCAGCCCACCCCCCACCTCTCAGATGTGCTGGGGAGAATTGTGCTGGCACGATCCTCCGGAATAAAGCCCTTTTCCGGAGGATCTCTGAAGCAGATATGGCTGTGTGGGTTAGCACCACAAAACTTGGTGTTTAAATACCCAATGACCTCTGGCATTATTTTCAGTAAATGGAATTGGATGTTGGCACTGAGAATGTTTTAATAGGTGCTGATGAGGTGCTGTTCTCTTGCTATGAAATCTGGAAGTTCAGGGGATCTTAAATAATGCTGTTTCTGAAACAGCTTTGGGGTGAGTGAAAGCTTACTAGGTGTTTCTGAAAGGAAGCACAAGCAATATCAAGGGGAATTATTCCTTTGAAAGTAATGTGGGTGTGTATTTTAAATAATTTATTAAAACTGCCTTGGGGAGACCAAACTGCATGAAATTAATCATTAGCATATTGGGAATTTTAGACTTTAAAATACAGGGAAACACAACCCATATGTTTTGATTAATCTTCCACCTTCCCAGACACTTTAACAAACTGTTGACTGTTTTCATATTACATTTTCCCCATTTTAATAATTTGAAACATTTGTTTGCAATGCTTTCAAGTGCCAGATTTCCCCTTTGTGTGGAAGATGGGGACATGTTTCAGTGGATGCTATTTCAATACTGCTTCTTAGGGTGCATCTACAAGCAGCACTAGCTCAGGATAGTCTATTTTGAAATTTGGCACTGTCTACATAACACCAACTTTCAAAATAGATTGCTATTCTGACAAGTTCTTTAAACCCCATAGAACAAGGTTTACCAGGATGTTGGAATAGAAAGCCCGTTATTTTGACTGCATTTCAAAATAACGAGTGTGCTGTTAAGATGTGGAAAATGCTATTTTGGGATACTGAATGTATCCTGAAATAGTGCTGCTGTCTAGATGTACCCTTAAAGAGCAAAGGAAGGGCATTCAAGGATGAGCATCTGCCTTTGAGACCTCATCCTTACAACCTCAAGAAGTTATTATGGCTGTATTTCTTCAAAGATCTTTTAACTAACATTTCCATCTATTGCTTTTAACATTTCAGAATCACACGTGATAGCAAGAGTGGGAAAACACTAGGGTAGGGTCCAGGCAGCTACTGATGGATCGTTTTTAAACACCTTATTCTCTAACTATCATAAAAGATATAACTGACGTGGTTTAACCCACTAGTGGCCATCAGCATCCTGCCTTTGCTCACATGCCACCACAGATAGTGGCAGAAAGAGCTAAAATGAATGTAATAACAAAGGGGAATTTTTCCTAATGAAGACAAGACTCATGAGAACTGACAGTAACTATGGAAAAAAACTTCAACGATGAATGGTCCTGTAACACCTTAGAAACTAACCTAAAAATATATAGATAGGACCTTTCATTGTTTAAGTTTTTTAGTTACAGACTAACAGGGCTACCCTTTTGAGACTATTAAGTATTGAAGATCAAAAAAACATACAGAAGCAGTAAACTATAATCTAGGACTCACCTACTCCCCTTCTCTAAATACCTTGCTGTCAGATGTACATTCATAATTAAACACAGTTGAAAACAATTGGGTGACTTATTTTTAAAAAGCAGAAAATGGAATTGAAGTCAAGAATACGATAGGAAACAGAACATTTACACAAAGAAATGTTCCAAAAAGGTAACTTATTTTTTGTGTTTTCTATTTAGAATGACATTTTGTTCTCAAAGTGTTGACAACGTGCACCTGCATCCCGCCCAAGAGAAAACTTTCGTGAGATGTGCAAACAGCTCTCGGAGACTAAAGAGAAAATTCAGATGAACAAAGAACATGAAAAAGCTGCCTATCAAGAATAAGTAAAAGCATACACACCTAGTAAAATAGTGCCAGCATTTTAAATGTACTAAGTTAAACAAAAATTTATGTATACTGTGACAGTTCCAGAGGAAAGACATAAATCAAAATTGTATTTTATTTTTGGGATACACCAGTATCCTGAAAAAGGCATTTTGTTTGTCCTTAAAGTTGTTCCCAAACGGACCAGTTTGCGATTTCTTAGTCAATATCATATGTTTAGATCTAAATTTCCTTGAAAGGTGGAAAAATAAAATCTTCTCAATGGAAATGCAAACATAGTTACTTCAAAAGGCTCTTCCTAAAAGCTGCCACTGAACACTGCGCATATTTAAAAAACTGACTCTCTTTAAAAAACAACTTGGTTTCCAACTAGACAACTTGGAACAACAACAGTTTGCTAACTGCAAGGTAGAAAACAATTGTATTAGCCACAAAACAAGTAGTTCACTGAGATAAAAAAATTGACAGGTTTTTTTGGCTCAAATCTGAATACCCTCAGCTAAAGCATAGTTGAATTACTTACTAATGAACTTGATGCTTAAATCGCTTATGGCAAAAATGATCTTATTGAAGAGAAAATTCTCTTACCTACAGAAAATTTGTATGAGTTTTTCAAACAGAATAACATGCTAACATTCAAGAGCTAAGGAGTTATGAAGGTGACAGGCTCATCCTTCTTGTCTGATACCCAAAAGAACATAGAGTGTTATGAGCCAAATAATTGTACCTTTAATAATGTGTTTCATTAAACTTTATTCTGTTGGCAAGTGCTTTGCGAGTCAATGCAGTGACAAATATTTAAAACAAAATTTGCTTGAAAAAAATGCTTAGTGTACAAAAGCACATTCCAGCCGATGGCCCTATTTACACAGCCATGTTGTACTCCTGGGGGCATTCTGTGCCAAAAACGTAACAATTCTGCGCACAGTATTTTACAATTCTGCAAGTTTTGGCAAAATAACATTACATAATAAGATCCTTTTCGATTATTTTGGTAATTTATTTCAAAATACCTGTCAGCAAGTCTGTCTGTCTCACAATACAGACACAAAATTTCCCCTAGGAATAGAGAGTTAAAAGAAATTTCTATGACAGTCCAGTTACGGTTTCTCTTCCCCCCCCTCCCCACTCTTCCAGAGCCAAGCCACGGGGCCTCTTCCCAATACATCTGAGCCTCCTTCCTCCCAGAACCCAGTCATGGGACACCTCCCCTCCAAAATCCTTACATCCCCTCCCCCCAGAACCAAGTCACGGGGACCCTCCTCTTTCCAATATACCTGCGTCTCCCCCCCCCCCGCACCCAGCCCCAAGCCCCCCCCCCCCCACCCCCC